GCCATACTGCATTAGCCATAAGTGTTTTCCTACCGAGTACTGTGTCATTAAAATTGGTAAAGTTTGTTGGCTTTCAGGTAATAGATTGTATGGGGCTACTTCATGTAATTTCTAGCCTTTCTAGTTGCTAAAAAAAAAGCCATCACCAGATTGTCTGGTCCAGACATGATCATTTATAGGCCAACCATTTCATTCAGCTAGAATATTGCTATCTTACAAGCAAGCAAACAAACTTTTGAAAACCAAGTGTTGCTGTATTTTTGTTCAAGGAAAAGCTTCAAACGTTTTGTGTGAATTAGAAAAACAATAATTGAAATCTTGAAATAGAAAGAGACAGTTTCTTGGAATCACTTTCTGTGAACTTGCAATAGACGTATAAATCGTCAGATCATCCCTCTAGTAAAAAGTAGTTCTGAACGGAGATCATTACAATCTGATTATATGCCAACTGACTTTACTTCTTCAGACAATCTTTACAATCAACTTCTGTTTAAATTCAATTTCCAAAGCCTTAAAGTAAGGGTTCGATTGAAATCTAAGTTGATAGTGTTCAGTGTGTTTCACTGCAGGGAAAAGAAGACGTCATTGTTAACAGGGTTTAACCCCAGGTGACAAACCCTGTAGAGGTTCATTGTGTTGATGTTATTGGCAGAATTATCTAAATACTATTCCCCTTTGTACATAAGACTATTCACGCTCCTTTGTCCAAGTATACAACCTGTGGAGCACATCTTTTATATCAGTTTTTCATTGCAACGAATTTACTCTGACCCGCTCAATTATCTTCGTTTTTCCTACGGATGCTAGTTCAGATTCAATTTGTGTAAATAAATTCAAGAAGAGACCCATGCAAATTGACACAGCAAATACACTGGAGGGGTCTTTCTTATGAAAGGAGTTTTATCTGTTCGTTTCAATGAAATGTAGCTCTTCCTCGGGCGAAGCCAGTGTGTTTCGAACTGTGGGGTTGCTGTGGTGAGATTAGATTGTAGGAATAAGGCTAGCGGAGTGTCAGCAGTGTTACATTAGCTAACTCAATTTCCCAGTTCTGCTCAACAGAGTCAGGGAAGGTCAAGATGATTTGAAGGATCCAGGATGTTAACAACTTTGGTTTCTGCCAATCCTTGTGCAGGGGTTGCTGAATAAAGAAAGTAATATATGATTTGGGAAATTTGAAGTCAGGGTGTTAATGGATTTTGACCCTGGGTCTATTTGTTGTGTGAGAGCTTTATTCAATCATGTGAACCTGCAGAGAGGTATCCATCAGAGGAATAATTATAGACAAGTAGTGTTGTTGTGGTGAGAGGACCGAACACACTACATGCAACTCTGGGGATCTGTTGCTGGGAGACATTACAGTTAACATCATCAAAGATGAAATGGCCTTCACTTGTTGTATTGACTTTAGGAGTTTAAGATCTTCATAAAATGTTTCAGAAAGTTTTGATTTCAAGTTGTGCTGCAACAGATCATGTTGACCTTGTGGAACGTTCTCTGTTATTATGGAAATTCAATATCATACTGATTGATACGTGCTCTCATATCTGAAATAAAACTTCAGAAAAAGTTTGATGAATGATGTAGCTATCATTTTAAAGATGGTGTTTGGGAAGTAGAAGTAAACCTTTCAAGGAAACAATGTCATCCAATGAGATTGAAACACGCTATTCTTGATTTTTCTTGTCACATGGAGTTTTTGGTTGGCTTACATCCTTTTTTATGCTTTTTCTTGCAAAACTGATACATGAAAAACCTCAGACACCTCAATGTGTTATTGTGATTCAACTTTCCAAGTTGAAATTTGCACTGATATACATACAAGTCACACACTGGCCGGTGTGTCTGTTATGTCCACAAACGCTTCTATATGCAATGATGTCACCACATCCAACCTGCTCCTTGCAAATTTGAAGAAAGTGAGTCTGGCATCCCTATTCAGGAGAACAAACCTGCTTTTGATGTAGATCATCCACAAGTTCAGAGGCTTCTGAACAGCAGACAATAACATCAAGGACACTATGGCAGATTCTCTACTAAAACTTCACATTATGCTTCACAAATTGGCATTCATTGAAGCCATTATTCACTGATGACCAAATTTGCACAAAATATGTATTGAATTTTATTTCGGCACTGAATCGTGCCATGACGATCAATTGTTGTTACCAGTTTCTCTGAGATGTCCTTGTATTACAAAAGGTTTTCTCCTCAAGCATGTCCTAATTATTTTCACTCCCAGGCAACATTAAATACCAATATAGCATTTTGTACTCCTACTCACTGTCATCGCTTAGCTTTTTCATTCCCTGAAAGCATTTTATTCTTCCTCAATGCTCGTTAATCCTCAAGCATTACTTCTTGCATGGTAACTCCATTTGTGATATCAAACAGTGTTGAATGATCATTGATGTGGCTTTGTAGCAGGGAATCACCATGAAATTGTTATATTTGGAATCCCTCGGAAACAGATTCAATATGGAAAAGGTGTGAAATAGATTTTCCACGAGAAAATTTCATGGTGCTGAATAGAAAAGTAGAAATAAAATAGCTTCATTATTTTTATATCTCTAGAAGTATTTATCGAAGTTTTATGGAGTGGTTACAGAGGGCGTCTTGTTTGTTCTTGGTAATGAAAGTGATGGATAGCCTGACGGTCGTGTTTGTTTGAAATAACTGTTGTAGTTTGCCCAGGACTTATTGATCAACAGACCATTGCTGAATGTTGCGTGTATTATTTTCTGTTGGAATCAGATCTAAAAGATTTAAGGTATGATAGATGAGGTGAGGAGACTTATACCATTTGTTTGTGTATCTTTGTCTGGATTGTGTGACTGGAACATTGGTACAACTGGCTGACATACACAGGAACTCATAGGACTCGTAGAATTATCATATGGGACAAGGTATTTGTACCATCGGCCACCACACAATGGAACTCAGGAGAATTGTCTTGTGTGAACGAGGCCTGGTTTCACAAAGTGATCATAGCGCTACGACTGTCGTAAGTCTATGTTAAAGTATGGGGGTTACGATCACCTTAATGCTACGATAGCTTTTTGAAATGGGGCCCAGGACTTTGGGGCAATGGGTCACCACACAATGGAAGAACTGTGTTGTTCAAATGATATTGTTAGCTTTGTTAACTAAAACACCATCAACTCAGTATTTGGTAGAAGACAGTTTTACTTTATGGTAGCAAGTTGTACTTTATGGTAGCAATGTTTAGAATTTGGATTAGAACTGGTGACTTGACAGATTATACATCATCAAACCCTGTAAGGAGTGTTGCTTATAGATAGATACTGGACAAGACTATATTATTTATAGGCTGCCATGACATAGCTGGATATTTAGGAATGTCATGAACCTGCACTTACTCAAAATACTGATAACCTTTTATATGTTTGTAGTTCTGAGTTTCTCCAGCAACTGGCTTGTGCAAATTGTACCAGCTTGTTTCACAGCCCCGAACCTTGACACAAAATTACTTTGATTAAATCAAAAACACAAATGTGACTGGGTCATCAGCAAGCATCTGACAGGAATTCTACTTAGAGCACCGAAACGCTAACTGAACCAAACATTTTGATAATGGAAGCATGATAAGGCGGGAGAATGTTAGCTGGCCAGACCGACTCGCCGCTACTCACATCCAAGTAGACGGTCAGACTGGTGGAGATAACGAAAGTGGAATATTATTGAAAAACCAATTGTGCTCAACTGTAATTATCAGGGCTGTGATACCGGAGAAAAGAGACTAGGATTGTACAGATTCCAGTGCAGTCAGGATGATGTCTGGCTTAATGGTGCTCAATTCCTGTCCATGTCCACACAACGTTATCAGACCACAACTGAGGATTTGTTGTGAGAAGTATCCCATATTTATGGTCTAAATAGCTGAAACAACCTATCTCCGTGTCATATAAAAAGTTACATGTTATGAACCCCTAATGTACATTCATGAGAATTGTATTGTTTTGAGAAGTCTGTCTGTCCAGGTCCCCTGTATGCCAGTCTGCAGAGTGAGTGAGTGAGTGTGGTTCTACACTGCTCTTAGCAAGTTTTTGTGAAAATTCATGGCCTTTGTTTTTGTTAAACCCTATTAGATGAATACAATCAGTGTATGAAATAAGCCAAAAATCCAGCCAGACATCAGGGCTGGTAACTTCAAAATGTTACCAGCCCAAAATGGATTTAACCAGACCAAATATGGTGAATTTATTCAGATGTATGGAACATCAAAATTTTTTTACCAGACCATCAGGCTGGCTAGCTGTAAATTTAGACCGTCCGTCAGAAATCTAGACCGTTCGGGCGGTCGGACGGGCCTTATTTCATACACTGATGCAATTCTGTGCTGTAGTATGCCTCTGTCGCCTCACAATGGTGCAAGGATCTATACTGAAACGTCATATAATAGAAAAAGAAATTGTCATCAATAAAGTATCTTGCCTTTAATGAAAATAATGCCCATGGCGCCAAATCACACATTGTACCTATGTGGGTAATGAAATTAGGGTTCTTGTGTAGTAATCAGAAACTCTAAACACTAGGTTATCCCAACGCCCCACTAGTCTGAACAGATGTCCATGATGAGTGTTCCACAAAGCGATCACAGTGCCAAGGTGATTGTAATTCCCATTCTTTACCCTAAACTTACAACCTTGGTAGCTCTAAGATGGCTTTGTGGAATGGGTCCCTTGTGGGTCATCGTATGACCTTGATGATTGTAGATTACCACTGTTATTCATGACTTTTGTATGAGTGAACTCCACACTTTTCTCTGCATCACATCCCAACAACAAAGGTTTAAGTACAGTAACATGCTGAACAGGTGAAACAGTCACCAGACTTAGGGTCCACTCAATGTCAAGTTGATGTTGGTCTGTTGTTGATGTTTCAGACTGCTGTTCACAGAGGACCAGATAGACATTTATGTTGTGTTTCTAGGCAGATTGACACTTGACCCTTGAGTTGATGTTGGTCTGTTGATGTTTCAGACTGCTGCTGACAGAGGACCAGATAGACATTTATATTGTGCATCTAGGCGGATTGACCCTTGACCTGTTTGTTGGCTTCCTTCTGTTCTTCGACAAGACACGATGCCTGGGGATGTTCTTCTGTTCCAGCTTCCATCTCATGAACTCCCAGATGTTCCATATTGGTAAGACTTGCTGTTCATCTTTAAATATTCATTTTCTTCATATGTTACGATTACAGAATGTAATGTCTTAAGTTTCAGGTTTTGTAAAAATTCAGTAAAAAATAAGACTATAGATGAACTGACAAGAGAGTTCTTTAACATAAATACATTATAAAGCAGCTGTTTGTAATTGTAAAATATGAGTAAATATGCATTATTACAGTTCAAAATGCATTCTTGTTGCTGAGTAATTTGATTTGTATCCATGACAGTCATAAAGCACCCACATCCAGGTCATCAGGTGTTTGCATTTTGATCTCAGATTTTCTTTCCGTCGTATCTCAGTTTCTATGAGGGGGGCTGCGGTAGGATGGAGGTTAGAGCTATCATCACACTGTTTGCTTCATGTATGCAATCTATGAAGCCAATCTCTGTAGTCTCCCACTGTGATATTGCCATGATATTGCTAAAAGCTTTGTAATATTCAACTCTCCCAGTTTCTGACTGGCTACATTTTGTTTCACATCACCAACCCAAATACTGGTTCATGTGAACGCAGTCAGAGTGAGTGAGTGAGTGAGCAAGTGAGTTTAGTTTTATGCCGCACTCAGCAATATTCCAGCTATATGACGGCGTTCTGTAAATAATAGAATCTGGACCAGACAATCCAGTGATCAACAGCATGAGCATCGATCTGCGCCATTGGGAACCGATGACATGTGTCAACCAAGTCAGCGAGCATGACCACCTGATCCCATTAGTCGCCTCTTACGACAAGCATGGGTTACTGAAGATCAATTTAACTCAGACCTTCACGGGTCGAACTCAATCAGAATCGAGATTTCCTAACATCAAGTGCACCAGGTTTCTGTGGAGACTAACCCCGTTCCTGTTGTGTTAAGGTATGTTCTCGTGGATGATGCTTGCCACACAACAAGTCTTCTGTTACGCTGACTGGCCACGACGGATGTTCAGAAAGGTGCCTCCATCACTAAGAGTACTCTCCCCTGATGACGAAGACATTCAAACCAGCAGCCATTGTCTATACAACAAGGAGGATGTCAAACCGGAGAAGGTCAGTATGATCCACTAATAAAATTGGAACTGAGAGAAACATTCGTGACTTAAAGCCTTCCATGGCTCCAGTATAGTGCGCGAGGAATAAATATTTAACATCATATCATCACCATTGAGTTGCTCTGTGGAACACGACAGCATGAAGGTTTTACTGCCGCCAGTTGTTTTATGAATGAAAGCTACTCAAACATTATTGACATTAATGATTCATATTCTATTGACTCTATCCAAATAGACAATGGGGCTTGTCTGTGCACATGGACTAAAAAGGCCACATGAAAGTGTGTTGTTACACTTCAACAAAAAGTATTCATGAACATACACTCTTCCTGTGGGTTAGGGGTGGTGGGATAGCCAAGTAGTTAGAGTGTTTGATCATCACACCGAAGACTCAGGTTCAATTTCCCACATGGGTACAATGTGTGAAGCCCATTTAGGTGACCCTGCTGTTATATTGCTGGAATATTGCTAAAAGTGGTGTAAAATTAAACTCGCACAATCACTATGAATCACAAAGTCTTTATTATATATGATGTGACGTTTCGATATAGATCCTTATACTGTTGTCAAGCAAGTTTTGGTCCAGTTAAATTCAAGGTCTGTGTTCTGATTATTGTAAAACACAGTTTTAGCCATGTATGAGACATATTTACCTCAAAACCTTTCAAACATATTCGGATAAATTCTACCACATCCACTGATTGCGCTATGGCTATCAAAGGTCTAGGTAGCAGAATGGAGATTGGGTAGATTAAATGGCTGTTGAGTATGAATAGTACTTGAAAAATATAGTGCTAAGAGAGAACATCTCTAACCATAACCTAGTTTGTTTTTGTTTTTGGGGGTTTTTTGTTTTTTTTCGATTATTAAATGTTTTTGGTTTTTTGGGGTTTTTTGGGTTTTTTATTCCAGCAAATCAGGTTACAAGCAGGGGTGAAATCATTGACAATGGAAACAATTGAGTAGCGAATGAGCAACAGTTCTGATTTCAAACAATCAATCAGCCATAACCTAGTTGATGCTGAGCAGTTGTACCATGATATTTTGAGGATTCGGCTTGGAATAGGTGCCAGCAACCTGTGCATGTCTTAAGATGTGTTTGGTCTAGCTCAGTGACTCTGCTCTTGAAACCAATCACTGGAATATTTACAGTCTGCTGCCATATTGGTGCAATATTGCTGGTGTAGCAGTAAACAGTACACAAAGTAAATGGGGTTTGTGCTCATATTGTTGACCTTAAAACAACACTTGTTCGCTTACATCTAAATTTGTCTAAAGCAGTGACAATTCTACATTATCATTGTTAGAGGTTCTTCATTTATGTTGCTGCACAGGAGTCTGGAGTGGGTTCAAGAAAGTCGCCCTCAAGTGTGTTTGTGCTTGGAGCTGCCTCTCCAACCAAACCATCTCTGTACCACAAGACATCCAGCATCTTCACTCTGTGCATCATTTTAAGCCAGCTCTTCCTGCCTTACTCCCACAGTCTCACCAAGGTAGGTGGTCTACTAGTCCCACAGTCCCACCAAGGTAGGTGGTCTACTACTCGAATAGTCTCACCAAGGTAGATGGGACACTACTCCCACAGTCCGACCAAGGTAGATGGTCCACTACTCGAATAGTCTCACTAAGGTAGATGGTCCGCTACTCCCACAGTCTCACCAAGGTAGGTGGGCCGTGGTCTACTACTCCCACAGTCCAACCAAGGTAGATGGTCCACTACTTGAATAGTCTCACCAAGGTAGATGGGCCACTACTCCCACAGTCTCACCAAGGTAGGTGGTCTGCTGCCTCCACAGTCTCACCAAGGTAGGTGGGCCGTGGTCTACTACTCCCACAGTCTCACCAAGATAGCTGGTCCACTACTGGAATAGTCTAACCAAGGTAGATGGGCCACTACTCGGATAGTCTCACCAAGGTAGATGGGCCACTACTCGGATAGTCTCACCAAGGTAGATGGGCCACTACTTGAATAGTCTCACCAAGGTAGATGGGACACTAGTCCCACAGTCCGACCAAGGTAGATGGTCCACTACTCAAATAGTCTCACCAAGGTAGATAGGCCACTACTCCCACAGTCTCACCGAGATAGCTGGTCCACTACTGGAATAGTCTCACCAAGGTAGGTGGTCCACTGCCTCCAGAGTCTCGCCAAGGTAAGTGGTCCACTACTCCCACAGTCTCGCCAAGGTAAGTGGTCCTCTACTCCCACAGTCTCACCAAGGTAGGTGGTCCACTACTCCCCGTCTCTCCAAGATAGCTGGGCCACTGCCTCCAGAGTCTCGCCAAGGTAAGTGGTCCACTACTCCCACAGTCTCGCCAAGGTAGGTGGTCCACTACTCCCCGTCTCACCAAGATAGCTGGGCCACTACTCCCACAGTCTCACCAAGGTAGGTGGTCCACTACTCCCACAGTCTCACCAAGGTAAGTGGTCCACTTCTCACACAGTCTCACCAAGATAGCTGGTCCAGGATAGGTGGTTCACTACTCTCAGTCTCACCTAGATAGGTAGTTCACTATTTTGTCTCACCAAGGGAGGACCCTACCATCAGTCTTACCGAGGCAGCTGATCAGCTGCTGTCTCACAATCACTATCTGTATGTCTGATGAATTTAATCAATCACAGTCTTTAAATTAACAGATTGTAAAGCCTTTTATTCTTGTATTTTATTATGTGTAACAGGACATCTTTACACAAGAGTCCCTTTTGAATTTCTCGAATGTAGACAATGCTGTATGATATGATACGAGCTATGTTAGTTGTTGACTATGGTTGTCTATCACAGGGCTACAACAACTGGACGAACGGCCTGTACGGCTACTCCTGGGACATGATGATCCACTCATGGTCCGTGCAGCATGTCCGCATCACCTACGTCAATCGGGACACTGGGGAGCAGGGCTATCTCAACCCTAATGTGAGTGTACAGCAGTGTGTGAAGAGGGAATAGAACTGCCACATACATCACAGTCATTTGTGTGTCATTTTATCTTCTTATCCGTTTAGAAGTACTTGATTACGGGCTGTGTGATATTTCTTGTTCTTTGTCCAGGCATTTTCTGGTTCTCGTCGCTGGAGTTCCCATGCGGACATGTTAAAGCAGTACTCCCAGTGTATTGCCAGTCACCTGCAACTCTACAACATCACCAACATCGCCCTGCACTTCGACATCTGGAAGTCCATCAATGACCGATTTCAACAGAGGTTAGAAGCATTTCCTACACCTTTAGTCATTCATTAGCTGTCTGTTGGTGAGGTGAGGTGAAGCAGGCTTTAGTGTCACCAGAAGATTATAGCACTACATCACGATGTCCTGTCTGCTTGTACTAGTCTAATGTCGATGTTATGGTGCTGGCACTATGAGTCATGTACCCAAGTTTAACATAGATACTCCTGTCAGATACAGTTTGAGACAATGAGCCCTTGTTTTATCTCTTTATACAGTATATAGGCTGTCAGTAATATGTGATCGTGTTTTTTGTCAGAATGTTTGATCCTCGGGAGGACATACTGGCAGCCAACTGGAACCCCTTCCAGGCAACGGCATGGACGATGCCTCTGTTGATAGACCTATCTGACTGGCGGGGAAAGCTGGCGGAGATACAATCGTCACTACACAACTCCACCAACCACACAGACGTTGTCTTTGTAGCAGACTTCCCAGGTACACAGCGTCAACTGTAGGGTTCATGTTTATGAAGACATTGCATACATCAAGTCATTAAGATGCAGACTATTGTTGTGGAATGTCCACTTGTGAAGAAATTCTGAAGTGATGTCGTGTTTATCACTTTGGTGTAACTATGAGCATGGGTATAATGCTGCGACTCCAAGAAACATAATGATGTCTGACTGATCTTGGATCAAACCCATGATCATTGGTTTCTGTTCAAATTGTAACTGATGTATGTGTGGGTGCAGGTCTCTTTCTGGAGAACTACGTACAGGAAGATCTGGGGAACACGTCCATTACAGTGCTGAAGGGCAGGGTGGTTGTGGAGTTGGTGGAGGACCGAGTCAACTATACGCTGATGGAGGGAGAGACCATGCAGGTGAGTACGGGGTTCCACCAAGCAGGGCTTACCGTATATTACCGTAGATAAGCCGAATTTTGAGGGGGAAAAAAAGTAGTCTCTAGAAGGGGGTCGTCTTATCTATGAGATATAATTTCTTGAAAGTATTTTTCAGGTCGTCAGTGCCCGGGCAGGACGATCTTACAGGTTAGCGGTACAGCAGTGGATGTTTACGACGATTACAGACACTTTCTTATACATGATAAATAAAATACATATAAAAGTATACATTTTGTTGTTATTTCAAAAAATATTTTGCCCTTAGTCATTATTAAGTTTCGTGATGCTACCTATTTACACATAATAAATCCACAAACAAGAAGTGATAATCCTGCCCGGTTAGCCATTTGCAAAATACATATTAAAGTATACATTTTGTTGTTAATTCAAATATTTTGCCCTTAGTCATTATTAAGTTTCGCACCTACCTATTTACACACAAAAATCCACAAAACAAGAAGTTATAATCCTGTCCGGTCGCCATTTGCAAAATGACATGTTGCCAATGCGATCAGCTGATCGTTGATTGCATTCACTTTCTTATAAATGAGCAATAAAATACATATTAAAGTATACAGATTTCGTTCTTTCAAAATATTTGGTCCTTAATCATTATCAAATTTAGGTACCTACCTATTTACACACAATTAATCCACAAAAAAAGAAGTTATGATCGTGTTCTGACATGTCCAAGTGCGATCAGCTGTTTCCTGTGACGTCACATACGGTGAAGAGGGTGATTGCTTCCTGTTGATTTGTCATGCCACACAAGCGATACACAAGTGATAATAATGGGCCCGATTGCTATTGTTTTGTTGTTTGCACAAACACTTTCAAGGAATGGGAGATTGTCGGAGTAGGGGCTTAATTCCTTTGTTTACCACAAAACAAACATACAGTAATAAGCGTGTGAAACCTGCGAATAAATGATGTATGCTCATTGTGTTTACACAGTATGAATGGATTAACGTATTGTTGCGGCGGTAATGTTTGATGAATAAATGATGTATGTTCAGTGTGTTTTATAGTTTATACAGTATACACGGTAGTGTTGACATGTATGACGGATGGGACTAAACTGAAACCAATGATAGTGTTCAAAAGGAAAACCATGCCCAAGGACAGATTCCCGACCGGGGTTATTGTGGCCGTACACCCAAAGGGGTGGATGGATGAGGCGTTGATTAACAGATGGATCAAGGATGTGTGGTGTACAAGACCAGGTAGCCTCCTAGGATGCAAGTCGCTCCTGGTATGGGACATGTTCCGGGCCCATTTGTGCGCGTCCGTGAAGAAGAGATTAATAGACAATAAGACACACCAGGCCGTTATACCTGGCTGCAGTCCCTTTACAGCCACTTGGCGTCTCACTCAACAAGCCCTTTAAGATGAACATCCGGAAGAAGTGGGCTGAATGGATGGTTGATGGAGATCACACATTTACAAAATCAAATGCCATGAGGGAGCCTCTCCCTGAAGTTGTTAAATGGGTAAAGGAATCGTTGGATGAGATTCCAAAGGACATGGTTGAAAAATCATTCCTCAAGTGTGGAATCTCGAATCGCGATGGATGGATCACAGGGCGAGGCCCTATTTGAAGAATTCATCACCAATGATACCAGAGCTGAAGAAGATGACGTCCTATCATGTGAACATTTAGAAGACTATTACGACGACGACACGGATGAATTGGCATGGCAGGCACTGGCCGGAGAAGACAGTGACACCGAGTTTGAGGGATTCACAGCGGACGATATATAAATGACTGTGAATGTTTAATGAATGTACTTATTGTGTAATATAGTGTTTACAAATCATCACATTATTCATTCTGTATTATTGTGTAATATAGTGTTTACAAATTAATTTCATCACATTTTCATTCTGTATTATTGTGTAATATAGTGTTTTGAATGAAAAAATGACTTCAGTTTTATTTACCCGGGAGCGTTTTCTCATGGGTTCATATTTCTACATGCACCGACTTCACAAAATGGCGTCTTGTTGTTGATGCATACAAACAGTGATCGTTGGGATTATAAGAAAGAAAACAAACCACGGCTTTCTACTATAATGGGCAGTGTGAACTTTATTAGATACTATATTCACCAAACATACTTACGTTTTCCATCCAACTGCCAGATGTCTCGTGGTGTGAGCTGGCCATAGCGTGGGGTTAGGCTTGTGTATGTTTTACAGTGAGCGTTGGGATTATAAGAAAGAAAACAAACACGGGTTTCCTGAATAATGGTCAGTATAATCTTTATTACCCGGTAGATACTATTTTCACCAAACATACTTACGTTTTACATCCAGAACATCCAGATGTTACATCCATTACTATCAGGTGTCTAGTGGTGTGAGTTGGGCCGCGACTCATCGCGGGGGGTCGGCTTATGTACGAAACATACCATTTTGACACTCATTTCAAGGGTCAAGCTAGGGGGTCGGCTTATCTATGGGATCGGCTTATCTACGGTAATATACGGTACCCTTGATTATCTTGTCTCGACTAATACAGTTAGTCATAAAAACAAAGCTGTAAATTATATCCCTTCACTATTGCATTGTACATTCACAGTGCTTTTTATTATCAGCAAATTATAACTTTAACTATTTATAATGTGTCATGTTTTTAATGTGTTTTTATTTTATTTATTTATTTTTATTTACTTATTTATTTATTTTATTTATTTATTTTTTTTTTTATTTATTTTTTTTTTTTTTTTGAGAGGGAGGAGAGCATATCTGGATAGTGTGCGGCATGGCTTGTACAAACCATGGTACAAGGATGTATTTTATTTACCTGTGCAGTTAGTTTGGAATTCTACAGACAAGTGACACTTCCAGAGTGCTGGAATGGGTGAGACTGTGGGAGTAGTGTTAAGCTGTGTGGAAGTTTAGCACAACAGTTGCCCAAACTGAGAGGATCTGCTGTCAGCACCTGTAGTTCTCATGGTGGTTGTTAAACCACTGCATCCATCTTTCAGAAAAAGCTGTGATGGCAACATCATATAAACACGGGGACTATAGTATGTTCAGCCAATTTACTGGCATAGAAATACAACATGCACCAGCTTTGATTGCCTGGTAAGACTGGTGTAATAAGTGATTGACTTCTTTGATTGGCATTCTAGAAGTTGTTGAGGAGATTTTTATGGATATACAACTTGTTTATTCCATATAGGTGACGCTTCAACATAGATTTTATTGGCATCGACAACAACATTAGAATCCTTGTTGAAACATCACCAATACAGAGTAAAGAAGTTGCATATCCATAAAAATTGTCCTCATTCTTAATTAGAGATTGGTGAATGTGTAGATTCAGCTTGGGTTAACTATGTGATGTTTAGTGGTGTTCCGATGATTGAAAAAAATAAAAAATCGATCGAAAGAAGGATTGAAAATGATTATCGATTGTAAAAAAAATACTTTTGATTAATCAGAATTTTGTTGTTTTTGTATAACACCCTTAAATTAAGTATACTAACCATTTAGTTTGATGAATATTCACGAACAAACATGCGCTCAACAGCGTAAAACTATGCGCATTGTAAAATTTTTTTGTTTATTTACAATTCCAGTGTCTTACTTGCATGCGTGCATTTCATTGCATGACAGTATTAGTTATAGAAAAAAACATTAATTAGAAAAAAACTTGGGAAAAACCCTTAAAATTGGTGATTACATTAAAAATTTATACATTTCAATTATAATCGATAATCATTCACCACAAGTCCTCTGATAATCAATAGAGGATTTGGTTTCCGATTCCCAACACTAGTGATGTTGCAGGTTCCTCCGGGAGAGTTCCACAATGTGTACACAGTCTCAACAACGTCCTCCTGCTACATGTACATCTACGTCAACACCACAGAAGTGGAGTTCCTGGAGAACCTCACCAAGTATGAGAACGCAATCACCAGCACGGAACACAATGATTCAGGTAGGTGGCCAGCTTAAGACTGTCAGTATCCTGGCTGTATATTTGCAACCTATTCATGTCCCCTGGCAGTGTACTTGCAACTTCACAATGTCACCTGACTGTTTGTGCTTGCAGACAGCCAGGCCAACATAACACTGACCAGGTTCCAGCAAGACCCCATGCTGGACCAGTACAAGGAGGCTCTTGCAGCCAAGAAAGCAGAGGAATCAAGGAAAAAGAAGACTTCCATAGAAAGAATAAAACAGTTCCTGGTTAAAAAATATAATCTTTTTATGAGGAGGTAAGACATGATTTTATCAGTTTTCAAGAAGCATTAGAACAAGTATATTCATATTACAAATGAGTGAGTGAGTGAGTTTTTATTTAACGTCACATCGGCAATATTTCAGCCATATTGTGACGAGAACATATTTGATTTTGAATGGAATATATATATATTATAAAAACCTGTCGACGAAGGACAGTAAAACAACTAGAATATCATAATTAGAATTAAAACTAGCGTGGAAAGTTTAAAACTAATAGCACTGTTGGGACAGTACAATATAAAAACAGGCTAGAGATCGCCAACAACAGAAGGTAGATCACCATACTAGGGATCATGGGGACTTACAGTACCTTTGCTACCTGCATGGACCCTAGCTGGATTTACAACATCCCTTCAGCTGCTGGCAATTGTAGGAAAATTTAGCCGGAAAGTTAAAAGAACAAAAATACTGCGATTAAAATGTGGTAAATTTACATCTTACTTTGAAAGTTTAGGGACTTACGTACCCACTCAGGAGGACAATGATTTTACAATACTTTAACCCCCTTTGAGGGTACAGCCACTAACAATCTAAGTTACTCATCTAAACTACCAATAATAAAATACATATCTATTTACAAACTATTCATCAAAATTTATCTAGCACTTCTATTTCTTTTAAAAATTCAATGATTAAATGATAATTAACACTCAAAAGATCCTTCACTGTTTTGACTATTACAAATGAACTAATGTCTTTGTCATACTCTTTTCCAGTTTTCGATTCACTTGGGGAGCAGTGAAAAGCATTGTTACGAACAAATCCTTTGATGAATTTCTTAATGAAACATACGTTTGGGAGACAGAAAATTTAATCAATGCCTCCGAGCTGGATCTGTCACCATGACAACAAGGGCCCAAGTTTCCATGAGCTGATTGTGATAACATGTGAGAATGTGTGGACAGATGTCGTGTAGCTTTAGTCTGTGAACTCATAACAGCTGGTTTCATTAAGGCTGTCTTCAGAGGAGGGTTGCCTCTGAAATAAGACTACGGTGCCTGATATTAGGGATGTCTGTTCATAACAAATATAAAGAAATGATGGAACAGGAAACCGTTCCAAACACTCTTGCTTCAGTTATCACAAGTTTAAAAGGAGCTGTTGAAGGGTTCTATAAATTCATTGATAGTTTTGAGAAAGGAAAATGCATAGTGCTAAAAGGGAAGACACTGACTCCCTGGCACCGTCGCATAAGTTGAAACACTGTCGTGACAAGCATTTGTTAACATAATGTGGTGTAATATTACCTCTTGCTTGAGTCAAGACAAGAACATAATGAGTGATTTGTACCTGTCTTCAAAACAAGATGAAAAATTAACTGTTTTGACTCAATAAGTTGTGGAACCTTCGGATGATATGTCTCTTCTCCAAATGTCTCTTCAAGATGTGCAAGAATCATAATTCCAAAATGGCTGCTTAGTGACATGGAAGAGTGAAAGCTCAAGCATTGACATCATTAACTTGTGAAGAATCTTCCACTGTTTCATCAGCCAATCAACGGTCATATGAGAATCTTCCACTGTTTCATCAGCCAATCAATGGCCATCGAAGAATCTTCCACTATTTAAAATCAGCCAATCAACAGTCACATGAGAATCTTACACTGTTTATTCGGCCAATCAATGGTCATAGGACAATCTTCCACTGTTTATTCAGCCATTCAAATTTATAATCACATTTAGCTGGCTGTAGAGCATTCAATCAAATGTATAAATTGACTGTAGATATATAGTCCCAGGAAGTAGAATGTCATTTTCATAAGAAACACCATAGTGAAAGGTGTATTTAGGAAACCTTCACTAATCACTCAGTTAAGCAAAGTGATGGAATTTTCATTTTTAACATGAACACCATTTGTCTAACATCTCCCTACTGGCAAACAAAGATAAGTTGAGCACCGACCTGACAATTGACCCGTATTAGCATGTATGAGTGCCGCCCACTGGCACTTGCCATTGTTAGCGAAGGGGCCCCAGGTTGTCCGCAATGAAGTGTAGTGTGACTTGCTACACCGACGTGAGAGTCTTATGAGCCATGCAATACACATGCACTAGCCTACATCTGCTCTACCTTTCACAAACCAAATGGGTTTGCTCATTGTAGTGCACCGCCTACTTCTCGTAAACGCGTTCTCTGCGCCGGTCCAACTTATCCTTGTTTGCCAGTAACATATTGCAGCATGGGTTTTTTTCCATGTCGCAAGGAGGGTGTATATTGATTTGACAACCAATGTTAAGACTTGAGGTTATTGTTAGAGGACATTGTAATATATTTTCTACAGTTGTTTATAAATGAGTAAACAAAATTCCATTCACTACAGTTTGTTTTCTCTACAAGTCATTCCAAGGGAGCTGTTTTACTGATCCTGTAGTATCTGGCCAGGTAAAACGTTATTTGTCAATCCAGATACTTTATTTTAGACATGTTAGTTCCGTTTGTATTGAAAAATTCATAAATGTTACACTTCTGTTCCAATTTCCTACATTTATGTTTAATCTTTGAGTGTGTTATTTTGTTGTGCAAGTCATTATCCCATATGTATATCTTACGCTTCAGGCCATATTGTTTTGTAGTGGGAAGGGAGTTACAAATTTTAATTTGAAAATAAATGAAAATGCACAAAATGCAATGTACCAAATGTGCAAATATTACTATATACTGTTTGACAAATATTTGTTTTAATAGTCCTATAAAGATTTCATGAACTATTTTTATTGTCAAAGAGTTTCTGTATGCAGTTCAAAACCCCTTGTCTTGTATTTTCTTTCCGAATTGTCAATTTTGTGTTCGTTGGATCTATGAACCAAGCAAAAATGAAGTTTGGCCTTTCACAATTGAACAAAAGTACATTACAGTAACATACCAAATCACAAATTGCCCAAAGTCTATAATACAGACTGTTTTGTCTTTTACTCAGTTTTGCTCAATTTAATACTCACTCAGCATTGATAATTGTTAAATACAATGTTAAATCATTCATTCCATTAAGCACAAAATATTGCAGTAATTTGCTCATTTTATTAGACAAATGTATACATAGAAACTATTAAATGTTGCGTTTTAACACTATTGTGACGTGTGTGAGTTGACTGGATCAGTATCAGAGGAAGGGCCTTAGATGTATCATGATGTACCATAAGCATACCACAGAGGCATGTATAGTAGAGGTCTCCTTCAACACTTCTAGGGGAGTGGTACAGAGTAACCACTTGATTGAGTAACCAGAAGGTGTGCTTATGTTTCAGTTTGTGAATCCTGTAGTAAGTCAAGGTGCTATAACGAAGGCCATGTACTACACTGATGGTCATGTTAAGCTGACATTGTTGTCATGTTCAATATTTTGTATACAGCTGCAGAAAGGATGAAATAAAGGTTGTGAGAATTGTTCCTTTGTGTTGACTTTGTGAACTTGTGGTGCAGGACACCTGTGATGAGTTTGATTAACACCACTTGAACTGTATTCCAGTTATATCACGGCATGTAAGCGTTATGTGGGAACACAGCCAAACATGTTTACCACCGTGGTGAAACCCTCAAGGATTGTTATGATGTTGATAAACGCCACTTGAACTGTATTCCAGTTATATCACGGCATGTCAGCGTTATGTGGGAACACAGCCAAACATGTTTACCACCGTGGTGAAACCCTCAAGGATTGTTATGATGTTGATAAACGCCACTTGAACTGTATTCCAGTTATATCACGGCATGTCAGCGTTATGTGGGAACACAGCCAAACATGTTTACCACCGTGGTGAAACCCTCAAGGATTGTTATGATGTTGATAAACGCCACTTGAACTGTATTCCAGTTATATCACGGCATGTTAGCGTTATGTGGGAACACAGCCAAACATGTTTACCGCCGTGGTGAAACCCTCAAGGATTGTTATGATGTTGATAAACGCCACTTGAACTGTATACCAGTTATATCACGGCATGTCAGCGTTATGTGGGAACACAGCCAAACATGTTTACCACCGTGGTGAAACCCTCAAGGATTGTTATGATGTTGATAAACGCCACTTGAACTGTATTCCAGTTATATCCGCGGCATGTCAGCGTTATGTGGGAACACAGCCAAACATGTTTACCACCGTGGTGAAACCCTCAAAGATTGTTATGATGTTGATAAACACCACTTGAACTGTATTCCAGTTATATCACGGCATGTCAGCGTTATGTGGGAACACAGCCAAACATGTTTACCACCGTGGTGAAACCCTCAAGGATTGTTATGATGTTGATAAACACCACTTGAACTGTATTCCAGTTATATCACGGCATGTCAGCGTTATGTGGGAACACAGCCAAACATGTTTACCACCGTGGTGAAACCCTCAAGGTTTGTTATGATGTTGAAACATAATCAGGTTTCTGTTCCTAAGGGACACAACTCTGCACAGCAAATAGCACCACCTTAGACAACTAGACCATCCCCCTACTGACATGAGGCAGTGGCAGCGTAAGATTACGCTCATAGATGTGTAATAACTAGGTATGACAAAGTTTGGTGGAGCTAATAGTCATTTACTTGAGTCTCCTTTTAAGATATTGTATGGAAACATTACAACTATGATATATGTATCATATTTCTATCCAGTATATAGTTACACAAGTAATGGTCATACCACTTGCAGGGCTCCAGATAACTTTTGGGGGTGTGAGTGTACTTACACATCATATTGCAAGTGGAGGTGTACTGAGAATTTTGAAGGAGTACTGACATGTTTTTGTGTGAGCGAGTTGATGTGATTTGTCTGGACGATTCATCGATCACTATTTCCAACCATGTGTTTGTATTTGAAGATGCGTGAGAAATAACTGAGCGACTGTGTGATGCGCGAAATGTCAGGTCCGACTGGATATAAATAGGAACAGTGTAGTTTTTAGCCAATCGAAAATAGTGACGCATATCGTTGCATGGCAACGCAAGGGATTCCTACTGTCGGGGTTTCCAACTGTGTCAAATCGTGTTTTGCAAAAGAAACTTAACAACAAGTATTTATCCAAAATAGATTTCCATTTGCAAGATAAGAACGGAAATTAAATGTTAGACGTACAAAGGTATTTATGTGCATACACGATACGCTTGAAATCTTATATGATGTCGTACTTAATTGATTTTGAGGCGTACATTACGCCTGTACGCCCCTTATCTGTAGCCCTGACTTGACTCTGATGTGTTTATCCTTACCAACAGAACTCTGACCTGCAGCTACCATATCATGGCTGATATGTTAACATTTGTATTATGTGCATAGTTGTGTCCTAAGTGTGTCAAAATCCTATGGTCATGGATTCTAATTCCTTTCCAACCCTAATAATGATTCTTCCTTTGTCAATGGCATTATACTCATGCTCATTTGTTTCACAAAATAGTAACAAACAGGGTCCCGTTCCTCAAAGCGATCGTAGCGCTACGACAGTCGTAAGTCTATGTTAAAGTATTGGAGTTACGATCACCTTAGCGCTACGATCGCTTTCAGGAATGGGGCCCTGGACTACAATGTTTGCTGACACCCTGATGGTGTTAAACAACATTGGAAACAAAGTCTCTCACCCATCTCACTCTTGGATGTCTTGCATAACCTCAACGAGGGCCACAGTGGCACACATTCATTCCAAGACATGGCATGACTCACTGATCCACATTATCAAATACAAAGTCACAGTTTAAAAATAAATTCATTTTAATGAAGCAAATAACGAAACCTTATACAAATGACAATATTCATCAGTTGCTGTAGACATTGTGATGGTAGTCTCTCTGACTAGATATGTATGGCATGAGGATTGATTGGTAAGTTCTGAGCATCACACAAAGAATTGTCCAACAGTGAAATCATGTAGTGTCCACAACAAACGTCATATCCACAAAAACTTAAGTCAACTGAGCGAATTTTTTCGCTGTGATGTCAGTAACATAAAAACAGCTCAGTGACCTTTGGAAAATGTTTAAGACAAGAACCTGCATTGATCAAGTAGTTACAGAAAAAGGGCTTAATATCAAAATTCATCTCTGAAGATAAAGGGGATGGGATTTAAGCTTCAAGCTTGAGATTAAGCCTGGCAGGAACAGCTTTGAACCTCATCATTAATGGCCTCAATCCATCATATAGTTATGGACAACCAACAAATAACTCGGCACCATATGTCTGGTTCAGTAGGCATTTCCAGATCGGAACCTATTTCAAATATACAAAGATGACATCACGGCAGCTGTGGAGAACAGACAAAGTAGAACAGTGAGTCAGTAAGGTTTTACGCCGCTTTTAGCAATATCAAGGTGGGGGACACCAGAAATGAGCTTCACATATTGTACCCATGTGGTGAATCGAACCCAGGTCTAAACGTGATGAGCAGACACTTTAACCATTAGGCTATCCCCCCGCCCACAAAGAAGACGACGACAGCTTTCACACACCTGGTAAGAGATGCTCCAGTATCACATGTGTTTCAATGTTGAAGGGGGTTTACCTTGAAATATCATTTCAATGTCTTCAGTTTATCTTTTGATGTGAAGCTCAGAACTTAAAACATCAGCCCTCGTGCATGACCTACATACACCATACTAACATGTATGTATATTTATTCACAGAGCACCCTTCAACACTGGGGTTGCAAACTGAATTTTCCAAAATATGGAACTGATAAGTATCTCTGTAGTTGGTTTTGTTGATTGTTGTTTGACGCTGCGCTTGGCAGTATTCCAACTATATGGCAACGGTCTGTAAATAATCAAGTCTGGACCAGACAATCCAGTGCTCTGCATCATGCACATCGATCTACGTAATTGAGAACCGATGACATGTAAACCAAGTCAGCGAGCCTGACCACCCGATGTTGTTAGTTGCCTCTTACGACAATCATGGGTTACTGAAGACCAGTCTATACTTAACATACGCAGAGAGACTGATCAAGTGTAACATGTAACATAATAAATGGCTTGGCTGAGCGGTTTTTGTTTTATGCTCCCCAGATTTTCAGCCAGTTAATAATTAAGTTTCATCCAAGCAAGTTATCAAAGACATAGCAATCAATCTCCTTGTCATGGCACACAAAAAGATTTGTGTTCTAAAACAATATCAAACTATTGAAATACTGAGTGTTATATTTATTGTTTTTGGATTAGAATTGCCAAAGTAACTGTTCACATAAAAATCACCATTTTATCATAAACAAAATATATTTATAATGAACATGAGTGTCTCTTGAACATAAGCCCCCATGAAAGACTTCTCGTCTTTCAACATTACATGATGGTAGGAGGATTGTAAAACCCCAAAAATCAAACAAAACAAATCCTTCAAGGATGTACTGAAAACAAATCTTTAAATAAATCATCTGTTCACAAATGTACAATTAAAGGGACTTAAAAATTGATTCGTAAAAAGTAAGTCATTTACTCCTCAATCTCTATGTCAGCAAATTGCTGAACAAACAGGAGGAATGAAAAAAATGTTTCTTAAATAATGTACAAATTATAAGCAATATTTATAAGTTGCTGTCAAACCGTTCCAGATGATAGTGCTGATCAACACATTTGTGGTAAACTACAGTTCAAAGGAACACAAAGGGACAACAAATTTTAGTTCAATATAACCCTAGTTTGCTGTACACCTTTTGCCTACATCAAGTGGCCAGGATCAATTCCATCAGTTGGGTAGAAGTGTGCCTGGTATGTATCGTACTGTATTAGTTTGATCCGTTACTCCAGCACTCTCACAACAGACCTATTGAGAGAGTGAGTGAGTTTAGTTTTACACCACACTCAGCAATATTCCAGCTATATAGCGGCGGTCTGTAAAAAGTCTGGACCAGACAATCCAGTGATCAACAGCATGAGCATCAATCTACGCATTTGGGAAACAATGTGTCAACCAAGTCAGCATGCCTGACCACCCAATCCCGTTAGTCGCCTCTTTCGACAAGCATAGGTTACTGAAGATCAGTTCTAACCCGGATCTTCACGGGTCCAACAGACCTATGGTTGTGACATGGTTGTGACATGGTTGTGACATGGTCGTGACATGGGCTAGATGAGGAAATCATAATGGACATGAAGAGACAAAGTCAAAACTGATATTTCTGAGGAAGACAAGAACTGAAAGGCGATACTTTCATGATGATGAGTCTATATCCTTGTCTACTGATTAAAACTGTTTTACTGTGAGATAGAGAGAATCATCTCTGAACCAATCTAGCATCACTACATCAACTGTCGCTCAGGGCACAAACAATATCAAGAGAAAGCTATCTTTTGCCTTTGTAGTCTCAATAAATACTTCACTTCAAATGAAAAAAAATGGTTGCTGACAATCAGTTGAGGCATAGAAAACAAAGAGATGTCACTTTTCGCCAGAATTACAATTATAACAGCAATTAGGATGATGGTTTAAACATTGAGTTCAAGGTACCTTTAGAAACCTCATTCAAACTTACTACGGCTGCAAATTGCTTTTGGTCCAGTCCCATAATTCCCTCATGGGCAAAAAACACCAACACAATTATTGACAATAACAGAATCTTAACTCAGAATGAATATACTGCAAAAGATTGCTTCACTTTGGCCACATTTGTTTCACATTGATCAGAATGGAACATTCATCAGTACTGAAACTCCATCTTCGCATTGCCCTTGCATGAGAGAATATACATGATCTACCAAATATAAAGGCAACACTGAAACACCTGTTGTATAATTTGGAGGACACTGAAATTGTAAATAAAATGTCCCACATAAAGAGAAACAAAATATATTTGTATTTGTAAAATGCTGTATCTCCTTCCAGCAGGAGATATTTAAAGTAATCTGTTTCCCTGAACAATATGTCAATATCAAAAAGGACATATCCATTGCATGGTAAATTATAACAAAATTAGCAAACAACTAAAAAATGAAGCAACCCTTCATATATATAAATAAACTACTTTACAATCATAGATTTCATACTTAGAACCGTATACAAGGTGTCAAAACGTACTCCCAAAAAGGATACACTAAATAATCTAGGAAAGCTGTCATAATCTATACCTTTTAAAAGGAAAGCAAAGCAAATTGCTGGCAGAATCTTCAGACCATAGAACAATGGAATTACCCCTTCAAATTATATTCTAAAAACATGAAAATTAGAAACGTGTACAAATCGAAACCTCTGAAATTATTGCTTAGATATCTCCAGTTGAATCATATGACATATGCAAACACCGGACTCCTGATTCAGCAGTCGGTGACCTCTTGACATATGCAAACACCGGACTTCTGATTCAGCAGTCGGTGACCTCTTGACATATGCAAACACTGGACTTCTGATCCAGCAGTCAGTGACCTCTTGACATATGCAAACACCAGACTTCTGATTCAGCAGTCGGTGACCTCTTGACATATGCAAACACTGGACTTCTGATCCAGCAGTCAGTGACCTCTTGACATATGCAAACATCAGACTTCTGATTCAGCAGTCAGTGACCTCTTGACATATGCAAACACTGGACTTCTGATTCAGCAGTCAGTGACCTCTTGACATATGCAAACACCGGACTTCTGATTCAGCAGTCAGTGACCTCTTGACATATGCAAACACCGGACTTCTGATTCAGCAGTCAGTGACCTCTTGACATATGCAAACACCGGACTTCTGATTCAGCAGTCGTCGACCTCTTGACATATGCAAACACCAGACTTCTGATTCAGCAGTCGTTGACCTCTTGACATATGCAAACATCAGACTTCTGATTCAGCAGTCAGTGACCTCTCAACATATGCAAACACCAGACTTCTGATTCAGCAGTCAGTGACCTCTCAACATATGCAAACACCAGACTTCTGATTCAGCAGTCGGTGACCTCTTGACATATGCAAACACCAGACTTCTGATTCAGCAGTCGGTGACCTCTTGACATATGCAAACACTGGACTTCTGATTCAGCAGTCAGTGACCTCTTGACATATGCAAACACCGGACTTCTGATTCAGCAGTCAGTGACCTCTTGACATATGCATATGCAAACACCGGACTTCTGATTCAGCGCAGTTGGTGACCTTTTGACATATGCAAACACTGGACTTCTGATTCAGCAGTCAGTGACCTCTTGACATATGCAAACACTGGACTTCTGATTCAGCAGTCAGTGACCTCTTGACATATGCAAACACCGGACTTCTGATTCAGCAGTTGGTGACCTCTCGACATATGCAAACACTGGACTTCTGATTCAGCAGTCAGTGACCTCTTGACATATGCAAACACTGGACTTCTGATTCAGCAGTCAGTGACCTCTTGACATATGCAAACACCGGACTTCTGATTCAGCAGTTGGTGACCTCTCGACATATGCAAACACCAGACTTCTGATTCAGCAGTCGGATACATAAAGTGGATACATAATTCAACCACAAACCCGATGTTAACATACTAGGTTACTGAAGTGTATAATACTTTGTACTGATGCCATGATCTGCATTCCTTGATGGATTCCCAAATAGAATCACAATGTACACAACTATTTGTCTCTTATACATAAAATGTTTCAAAACTGTTCTGAAATGCTCTATTTGAATTCCTCAACTAAGTTACAGAAATTGACCCCTTGAAAAATTACACACACAAGGTCACCTTGACCACTGATCAGTTTTCAGTTACTCAAAATTGTCAGATTAAATTGAAGTTTACATTATGAGGAACTAAAGTAGGGGGCCACAAGGCTGTTGCACAAGAAATATCACTGTTAGATGTAATCTGAGAGCTCATTGGTTGAAGCATTCACTCTCAAATCGTAGAGATCAAAATGGTGACTTTGCTGAACAAATTATCACAAACAGCCAATGTGAAGGTCATGACCTTCAGAATATCAACTGGACCCAATCAACAAAACGCCATTGGTTGTCCTGACACTATACAATAGCTGGAGTGCTGTGAAGTACCGACGACCAAGCTCTCTTTGGTGCATTTGTTTAGCATATTATCACATTATATTATCAATGTGAAGGTCACGACCTTCAGAGGATCACAAGGTTGATGGTCCCAATCAACATAACGTTTGTTCTCCATACAATACACAATTTTTGGAGAGATAACATCATCTTGGGTGACAAGCTGTAGTCAGTTTACGGTTTGAGCAGTTTACGGTTCATTCATCTGCATCATCATACTGTCCTGGTTCTTCTGGGAAGGTGAGAGTTGCCATGTTGCGAGGGATCGATGGTACGTGGAGATCGAACGCAAACAAGAGCGTTTGAAGGTCCTTGGTGGGCTGGTGAGCTTCTGCCCACGTCGGGTGTTGATACACAGGTGCAGCATCTGAAAACAAGACAGTCCTCTCAGTAACTATGGTAACATGTACATTACATTCAAGCAGTCCACAACTACATAAATCTGACAAAAGTTCTGTCTTTACTTTGTTGTTAATATTGCACTCAAGGCAGCACAGAAATATTCCAGTCTGGACCAGACAAACCAGTGATGGATATTGTGATTAATGATCCACACCATCAGGGTACAATGTCATACATTTAGCCAAGTCATTGATCCATTAAGTCACCTGTTAGGACCAGTATATGTTGCAAGGTACCAATTCTAATCTGGAGTACCCAAGGGGCAACACGCACCTCTCACATCCCTACTAACCTGTGTTGCTGGAGAATTGATCCTCTATTTCTTCATCCCAGTTCTCACTTTCTCCACTTGTCTCGTCCTCCGTACCTGGTACTGTCTGAGTATCGGAGGTTGGTTGTGAGGGGAGATCCCAGTCGTTTTCCTCGCTCCCATTGGCCGACCCCCAGTCTGTGCAGAATTAATGAGGACATCAATAACAGATTATACATCATACTAATCTGAATGTTTGATGTCCATTAACTCCATTCATACCAACTAAAACTGATATCCCATGCAAACACATTACTGGGACACGATAGTTTTCTGTCATAGTCTGGAGTCAGAGGACAGACAAAAACTAAAAATGGCTGAAATCAGCTTCTTTCTTTAAAGTGGATCATGGAATATTTTTAGAAATATAACCAGGAGAAAGAAAAAGCTGAAACACGATTCTTGATCCCACAAATAGAACAAAAATGAGGCAAGGGTTTACCTTGTTTGGAGTAGACATGTAAACAGTCATCGTCATCATATTCTTCTTCTTCCTCCTCCTCCTCCTCATCATCATCATCATCATCACCACCACCACCATCATCATCATCATCACCATCATCATCATCCCTCTTGCTGCTCCCAGCACCTTCACTCTCAGCTGCATCACTTGGTTCATTTGAAAATGTCTTATTCCGTGCAAGCCAATTCTGGAAAGATCTCTCTCCCCTGACAAACTTTTCCCTCTGCGTGGGCCCATTATGAGATCTCCAGATGGACATGTTTCTCCGTGCAGCTAGTTCCAGTTGCTGTTCACTGTACTTCTCTGAGTCCTCGTCACGATGTTCCTCCTCCCCAGTAGGAGGACCGCCATCAGGCACCTGAAACACCACCATCATTCCAATACATCTACGTTACATCGCGCCGAAGGCACGGGTTCTATTCCCCACATGGGAGAAAATGTGTGAAGCCAATTTCTGGTGTCCTCCACCGTGATATTCCTGGAATATTGCTAAAAGCAGCATGAAAACAGACTCGCTCATTCATATGATTTGCCAGTACTTGACCAGCTGAGCATTATGTTTGTCTGTGCTGTTCACTTGTGCTAAAAATGGCAGCAAACTTGCAAGCCCACTATAAATACAACAACCAGGTCCTGTAAAGCTAAGGGAGGGAACTCATGATATGCTGAATACTGGGCACTGGGCACTTACGACAATCACAATCTTAGTTATAACTTTCCAGTACACTATCACCAATGTTCACACTGATATGTGATTGTGCATCACAGAGTCCCCAAAATTGATAAATTACTGGAATTTCATCTGACTACAAACAACAATTACTCTATAATGTGCTTTTAAATCTAAAATTGTGGCCACCACAATAAAAGTGCAATATCTGAGATGTTTATGAATTCCACAAAAACATGGCTGATCATGATAACAGATATGAATTTCTGCTGGACAACCAAATTTGTAGGATACTTGAAGGACTGTAGGCATGTAAGGATTACTCTACCATTAATCAACAATGCTATTTAGTTGCTTTTTGATTCTATGATTGCATACATTGTGTCACATACCCAAATACATGTGTGGGAATTGATCCTGTAGTGATAAGATTCTACAAATGTTTATTTTTTTTAGTTTCAAGATAAATCAAATTATTAAATTTACAATCCACAATGAGTATTGTTAAAGTGAATATATTGACACATCTGGTAAGTTTTAACCAAGCATATGGATCAAATACAGCTACCAAAATCTCAACCTCCTACAACAGTCCTTATCGCCATAGATGGTCAATGGGAGATAACTCTGTATCACAAGCCAGATTACATCCCATATGGTTGAAGCAATGACAGTAAGTTTTCACAAATAACCTCACAACTCTGAATGTGATGTCAGTCCATTATCTTAACAATCAGCTCACCCGGATAATGAAGGTTTCAAGGCCAGTTAAGTCCTGGCGAGGCCTGCCCCTCCAGTTGTCTTTCAGCGAGGGATCCCTCAGAGGGTACTTGGACTGTCGCACCAAAATCGGAACCTCATGACGGGGCACACCAAGCTTGTTCTGTAGCCATGGACAACAGACAAACATCTTTACCACTAAGCCATGAGGACCAATTTCTACATGCAGCAATAAGACAACTGATACATGTTTTAACAATGACGATACACCAGCAATTTCCAGATTAATGGGGGCATGTTGGTCGAGCTGTCTAAGGGGCCGCACTAGTAAGCTAAAGGTGCCTGGATCGATCCCCACTTGTGACCGGGTGTACAAACCTTGGACTTAAAATTACTTGCAGGCTCTTTCAGTGTTGTCACAACCCCTAGTGTGCAGTACACAACCCTGTGCACTTAAAAGAACCCACTCATCCAACGGTAGGTGACCAGATAGTGGACACACGAACACATGCAGACACCAAGTTGCGGGTATAGCAACGTGCAGTATCATTGGACAAAGTACTGTGACTATGTGTCCCAGTCCACCCAGCTGCAAATGGGTACCTTGTGAGGATGAGGCTGTGAGTTGAATACTCCCCAGGGAGTTGAGTTGGTTAAAAGAATGCCAGACAAAAAAGACATCCGTTGATCAAGAGAACACCCAATGTCCAGTCTGACAAGGTGGTGGAAGTGTTTGAGAGAGGGGGACACCTACCTCATCAATGTCCAATCTTACAAGCTGGTGGAAGTGTTTGAGACAGGAGGACACCTACCTCATCAATGTCCAGTCTTACAAGCAGGTGGAAGTGTTTGAGAGAGAAGGGGGACACCTACCTCATCAATGTCCAATCTTACAAGCTGGTGGAAGTGTTGGAGACAGGAGGACACCTACCTCATCAATGTCCAATCTGACAAGCTGGTGGAAGTATTTGAGAGCGGAGGACACCTACCTCATCAATGTCCAGTCTGACAAGCTGGTGGAAGTGTTTGAGAGAGGAGGACACCTACCTCATCAATGTCCAGTCTGACCAAGCTGGTGGAAGTGTTTGAGAGAGGGGGACACCTATCTCATCAATGTCCAGTCTGACAAGCTGGTGGAAGTGTTTGAGAGTGGGGGACACCTACCTCATCAATGTCCAGTCTGACAAGCTGGTGGAGGTATTTGAGAGAGGGGGACACCTACCTCATCAATGTCCAGTCTGACAAGGTGGTGGAAGTGTTTGAGAGAGGAGGTCACCTACCTCATCAATGTCCAGTCTGACAAGCTGGTGGAAGTGTTTGAGAGAGGACGACACCTACCTCATCAATGTCCAGTCTGACAAGGTGGTGGAAGTGTTTGAGACAGGAGGACACCTACCTCATCAATGTCCAGTCTGACAAGCTGGTGGAAGTGTTTGAGAGAGGAGGACACCTACCTCATCAATGTCCAATCTGACAAGCTGGTGGAAGTGTTTGAGAGAGGAGGACACCTACCTCATCAATGTCCAGTCTGACAAGGTGGTGGAAGTGTTTGAGAGAGGAGGACACCTACCTCATCAATGTCCAGTCTGACAAGGTGGTGGAAGTGTTGGAGACAGGAGGACACCTACCTCATCAATGTCCAATCTGACAAGCTGGTGGAAGTGTTGGAGACAGGAGGACACCTACCTCATCAATGTCCAGTCTGACAAGCTGGTGGAAGTGTTGGAGACAGGACGACACCTACCTCATCAATGTCCAGTCTGACAAGGTGGTGGAAGTGTTTGAGACAGGAGGACACCTATCTCGTCAATGTCCAGTCTTACAAGCTGGTGGAAGTGTTGGAGACAGGAGGACACCTACCTCATCAATGTCCAGTCTGACCAAGCTGGTGGAAGTGTTTGAGAGAGGGGGACACCTATCTCATCAATGTCCAGTTTGACAAGCTGGTGGAAGTGTTTGAGAGTGGGGGACACCTACCTCATCAATGTCCAGTCAGACAAGCTGGTGGAGGTATTTGAGAGAGGGGGACACCTACCTCATCAATGTCCAGTCTGACAAGGTGGTGGAAGTGTTTGAGAGAGGAGGTCACCTACCTCATCAATGTCCAGTCTGACAAGCTGGTGGAAGTGTTTGAGAGAGAAGGACACCTACCTCATCAATGTCCAGTCTGACAAGCTGGTGGAAGTGTTTGAGAGAGGGGGACACCTACCTCATCAATGTCAAATCTGACAAGCTGGTGGAAGTGTTTGAGAGAGGAGGACACCTACCTCATCAATGTCCAGTCTGACAAGCTGGTGGAAGTGTTTGAGAGAGGAGGACACCTACCTCATCAATGTCCAATCTGACAAGCTGGTGGAAGTGTTTGAGAGAGGAGGACACCTACCTCATCAATGTCCAGTCTGACAAGCTGGTGGAAGTGTTTGAGAGAGGAGGACACCTACCTCATCAATGTCCAGTCTGACAAGGTGGTGGAAGTGTTGGAGACAGGAGGACACCTACCTCATCAATGTCCAATCTGACAAGCTGGTGGAAGTGTTGGAGACAGGAGGACACCTACCTCATCAATGTCCAGTCTGACAAGCTGGTGGAAGTGTTGGAGACAGGACGACACCTACCTCATCAATGTCCAGTCTGACAAGGTGGTGGAACTGTTTGAGACAGGAGGACACCTACCTCGTCAATGTCCAGTCTGACAAGCTGGTGGAAGTGTTGGAGACAGGACGACACCTACCTCATCAATGTCCAGTCTGACAAGGTGGTGGAACTGTTTGAGACAGGAGGACACCTACCTCATCAATGTCCAGTCTGACAAGCTGGTGGAAGTGTTGGAGACAGGAGGACACCTACCTCATCAATGTCCAGTCTTACAAGCAGGTGGAAGTGTTTGAGAGAGGAGGACACCTACCTCATCAATGTCCAGTCTGACAAGGTGGTGGAAGTGTTTGAGAGAGGAGGACACCTACCTCATCAATGTCCAGTCTTACAAGCTGGTGGAAGTGTTGGAGACAGGAAGACACCTACCTCATCAATGTCCAGTCTTACAAGCAGGTGGAAGTGTTTGAGACAGGAGGACACCTACCTCATCAATGTCAAATCTGACAAACTGGTGGAAGTGTTGGAGACAGGAGGACACCTACCTCATCAATGTCTAGTCTGACAAGCTGGTGGAAGTGTTGGAGACAAGAGGACACCTACCTCATCAATGTCCAGTCTGACAAGGTGGTGGAAGTGTTGGAGACAGGAGGACACCTACCTCATCAATGTCCAGTCTGACAGGCTAGTGGAAGTGTTTGAGACAGGGGGACACCTACCTCATCAATGTCCAGTCTGACAAGCTGGTGGACTGACTGACTGAGTTTAGTTTTACGCCGCTTTTAGCAATATTCCAGCAATATCACGGCGGGGGACACCAGAAATGGGCTTAACACATTGTGCCCATGTGGGGAATCGAACCCGGGTCTTCGACGCGTGACGAGCCAACGCTTTAAACAAGCTGGTGGAAGTGTTGGAGACAGGAGGACACCTACCTCATCAATGTCCAGTCTGACAAGCTGGTGGAAGTGTTGGAGACAGGACGGTACTTGAGTTAACAAGTTGTTGAAGAGATCAAGTGTCTTCAGCTGCACAAGTTTCTCAAATGATTCTGGCAACTCAGCGATCTAAAACATGAATATGATAAACATGAAATTTTTAGAGTAAAATTAATATTTTATACTTATCCTGACTCATGCTTATTTGCTTGTCTTCTTCTTCTGGCGAACATAGTGGAACACTTGTATCTCCCAATTGAAGTTCCCTTCAATAAAAAATCACTCATTAGTACTGACCACGAGTTACCTCCCTTCCACAAGCGCGGGAACGAGGGCGCCACCTCCTGCCATGTGCCTCACTCTCTCCTCATATACTGAGCCCAACACCTGAATTTCCAGGGAAATCCAAAGTGTTATGTGGGGAGGACGGGAGGGCTTACCTCATGAGTCAGGATAAGTATAAAATATTAATTTTACTCTAAAAATTTCATATTTTTCCTTATCCTGACTCATGCTTATTGCTTGTAGAATCCTACGGATAAGGAGGTGGGATTATATATACTTTGGATTTTACTAATTAGTGATTTGAACTGAGATGATTGCAATAACCCTATGGGAACTTCATAAAGGCACTGAACTGAAGAATTCCTGCTGTTAACTTATCAGCTGGGGTTATTACAATTTACTGAATATAATAAAAGCATATATAACATTAAGTAAGCTGAAGCCATTAATGTGATAGTATAAACTCTTGATAGTTTATAGTGAATACTTTTATAATGAACCAAAGTATTAAGCTTACAATATGCATATATATAAGCTATAATATAACTGTGCTTAAGATATAACTATAACTTAAGCTGTATAATAGTAACCAATTACTGAGAGTTTGTTAACTAATACATGTCATGAACTGAACATATGACTGAGCTTAAGGATTGAAACTTAAGCTGAACATATATATAATAGTAGAACTCCTAGAGTTGTAGGCATATATATAGTATGATATAGAATCACAGTACCGTATAACAACAAAAAAGACTCCTTAGAGTTTATTAGCTAATATACTTTATGATATGAGTATAGTACTGTGCTTAAGATATAATTAACTTGAGCTACCTAAATAGCCAAAACAACTCCGTAGAGTTTGTTAGCTAAAACATTTTATAATGTAACCATAATGCTTAAGATATGATGAAACTTAAGCAAAATATATAATAGCAAAAAACTCTTTAGAGTTTGTTAGCTAAGATACTTATATGATATAATATAGTATTGAGCTTAAGATATGAATAAACTTAAGCTACATATATAATAGCAAAAAACTCTTTAGAGTTTGTTAGCTAATACATTTTATAATGTAACCATAATGCTTAAGATATGAATAAACTTAAGCTAAATATATAATAGCAAAAAACTCTGTAGAGTTTGTTAGCTAATATACTTATGATATAAACATAGTACTGAGCTTAAGATATGAATTAACTTAAGCTACATATATAATAGCAAAAACTCTGTAGAGTTTGTTAGCTAATACATTTTATAATGTACCCATAATGCTTAAGATATGAATAAACTTAAGCTAAATATATAATAGCAAAAAACTCTTTAGAGTTTGTTAGCTAATATACTTATATGATATAAACATAGTACTGAGCTTAAGATATGAATTAACTTAAGCTACATAAATAATAAACAAAAACTCCGTAGAGTTTGTTAGCTAATACATTTTATAATGTACCCATAATGCTTAAGATATGAATAAACTTAAGCTAAATATATAATAGCAAAAAACTCTTTAGAGTTTGTTAGCTAATATACTTATATGATATAAACATAGTACTGAGCTTAAGATATGAATTAACTTAAGCTACATATATAATAGCCAAAAACTCTGTAGAGTTTGTTAGCTAATACATGTTATAATGTAACCATAATGCTTAAGATATGATGAAACTTAAGCTAAATATATAATAGCAAAAAAACTCTGTAGAGTTTGTTAGCTAATACATGTTATAATGTAACCATAATGCTTAAGATATGATGAAACTTAAGCTAAATATATAATAGCAAAAACTCTTGAGAGTTTGTTAGCTAATATACTTATATGATATAAACACAGTACTGAGCTTAAGATATGAATAAACTTAAGCTACATATATAATAGCAAAAACTCTGTAGAGTTTGTTAGCTAATACATTATAATGTAACCATAGAATTGAGCTTTAGATATGATTAACTTAAGCTAAATATATAATAACAAACTCCATGAGAGTTGTTAGCTTATATATAGTATGATATAAACACCATAGTACTGAGCTTAAGATAATAAATTAAACTTAAGCAAAATATATAGATAGCATGTATCTATTAGTACTGTCATCCGATAAGTATAAAATCTGTAAGATAGACTTATCTTCTCCGTGGAACTGTCAACTGTTGAGCGAGGACCATGGGACTGAAACGGTGGATATCTGAGACTTCCTTGGTGGTGATATCTCTCAGATAGTGGTTGGCAAACACCATATCGGATCTCCAGAAACATCCCTCCATTATGGTATTCAACGAACAATTCCCATGTAGAGCGAGAGTTGTGGCTAGCTCTAATTTCATTGAGGATTAGAAGCTCTTGGAGGGTCGCGTCCTACAGCCTTGTAAGCACGTAGTATGACAGTTCTGATCCAGATAGAGATAGTAGTACGTAAGACTTCCGTCTGCGTAGCTGTAGATATAGGGATAAATAATCTCTTAAATATCCCCTGCTCTATTTGGATCGTTGGAGATATATTTTCAGTGTACGAACTGGGCATAGTGATAGATCCATCATGATCATCGCGGTCCAAGTATGGATGAGAGAGCTGGGGCGATGGAATAATCTGTCTGGTTGACCTGGCAGTTGGTTTTCCCTATAAAATCCCAGCGAAGTCCCAGATGAGCTATGTTATGAAAATCATCAAAGCGTGTTCTCTCGTAATCCAGTGCGTGAATCTGACATCCTGGTGGCCGTAGCTAGTGCTAACAGGATCAAGGTTTTGTGGGTCAGTGATTCAAACGATGTAGATAGCGATGGTTCAAAAACCTCACTAGTGAGGTGATGGAGCATTATATTAGATCCCAAGCTGGAGCGTGAAACTTCGTTCTAATCCTCAATCGGAACGCTTGTAACAAACCAAGTAACTCTGGCGTTTTGTCAACTTGACGCCCGCTCTCATAGTATGACAGAACTTATAGCTGTCAGATACATGGACAAGGTTAAGCCTTTTAGATTCTTAGTTTAACGTAGATAACATAAGAAATCTGCCACTTGAGGATGTGTAGCATATCTGGCTGTAAATCCTTTTTTAGCAGCGTAATTGACAAAACTGTGCCATTTGTCATCGTATAAGTTACGAGTAGAGTTACGTCGTGCAAGCGTGACCGCTGTAGCCGCTCTGGCAGAATAACCTCTTATTCAGACATGCCTTGATACAATGCATACGTGAAGTTGGAATGATTCTGGTGTATCGTGCACTTGTTTGGTGTGCAGATGTATCGATAGATTGGAGCGTTGTGGGAGCTGAAGAATTAGTTTTCCGATTTCTTGTATGAGATCTGGAAACCAAGTTCTCGCTAGCCAGTAGGGCGTGACCAAATCAGATGGAGGCTCTGCATTTGACTGATTTTCTGTAAGACTTGCTTAGTGTGTCCGTTGCCCATGCTAGTGGGTCTGGCACTGGCGATCTGAATGTTGTCAGTTGCTTGTTGAACCGAGTGGTGAATAGGTCTATCAGAGGAGATCCTATTTCCTGTGTGTGGAGCATCCATTCTGTCGGGCGTGACGGTAGGTGTAGCCCAGAGAGAGCGTCTGCTAATACATTCTATGCTCCTGGAATGTGGCAAGTACTGACGTGTATGTTTAGATTGTCGATTCGATCGAACAGTCTGAAACATTGAGTCAGTAGGTTCTGTGACCTAGTTGAACCTTGTTTGTTCACATAAAAAAACGCCAGTGTTGAATTGTCTGTGTGAACCATTATCTGAGCGTTCTGTAGTAGGTTGCTCCAATGACTTAAGGCGTTTATAACTGCTTGCATCTCTAGCAGATTATGTGACATTTGCTCTCTTGCCGGTAAGGTGGGCTCCCCAACCTTGTAGTGACGCGTCTACGTACAGATGTGTTTTCGATTCCGGCTCTACTAAGGAGACGCTTGCGCAAACATTCAATCTCTTGGTCTTGATGATGAAATTCAACTGTAGTCTGAGACACTGTGGATTTGGATCCACTTGTATACCGTCGTCGAGGAAAATTCGCTGCGAAGTCCTTGACGATGCTCACTGAGATAATGTTGTCACTTGCAACCTAAGTCGTGAACTGAACTATGCTCGACCTCTGTGTAGGGCGTTGTCCATCAGCGGTCCAATCAGAACAAGGCATTTTGATTCTGTAGAATTACCAGCTGTGATGTCACGGTGTAGCAGGAAAAGGAACCTTGTATAATATAGTGCCGTCGTTGATATTAGAACAATCGTCGGTCTTCACCGTAACTTCCGAAGTTACCCGGTAACCACGTGTTTCGAGGGTTAATGGTAAGCGCCAGCGAAACCTCCGGTGAGGAAATACCTCGGCTCTATAATATTAATGCTGGGTAGGTTATTTTCCTGGCTGTCGTGAAAGTAACTTCAGTCTTGAAGATAATTCCGACTTCCTTATATAAAGGTTTAATAAAACTTGCAAGTTGTCAACTTGTAGACTGTATACATGAATGTATCGTCATAATTGTAGAATTAAAGCTGAACTTGTTGTACATATTTCTTCTCAGAAATGCGTTGGCGATATGAGTTTTATTAAGCTGTAACAAGGTTGCTGTTCAATTCCGTAATAGAATTGTCTGCAGATCTGCGTTGGGCTTCGAAGATTTAGAGCAGGCTGTATCCAGATTAGTTGGTACCGCTGCAATCGGATCAATAGGAGGTAAGGTGAAATAGTCTACATCATCATTCTTCATGGCGTAAGTCTGAGTTGAATTCTCGTTCTTCGATGAAAAAAACGTTGTAACTCATTCACCATCCAGTATCTAATCTCAGCATCTGAGAAAATGATACTTTCCTCCTCTTTTGGCGTAGGGTCACATGTAGTCCTAGATCTATAGGAAGATCTATGAGAGGACTGTGATGAACGGACTGACGAGTGGCTAGTGTAAGGGAGACCTTGGAGGAGACACCCTCCTTGAGCGCTGGGGACTTCGCGAACTCTACTATATCTTCGAGCGTTGGGGGCTTTTCGCGAGCGCTGGGGGCTTCCGCGAAGCTCTTCTAGGCGATGTAGATCTTCTAGGCGATGAAGAACTGGAGCCACTTAGCCTTCGCGACCTTAGCGAATGTATCGAAGTCAGTGTCCGTATCGACATATGGCTTGCCGCGAATGCCCTCCTGCATGACAAGGTGCGTGCTTTCGGCAAAGCTCCTTCTTGAAGCCTCTTGCAAAAGGTGAGGCTCTAGCTCCTTCCGCGAGGCGGCCTGGGATACCTTATGCAAAGAGCTCACTCGGGCAGGGTTGCCCTTGGCGGAGGTGCGTCTATGGGCTCAGAGGCCCTACGCGAAGCCAAGGCGGGCTCTGAGGCCCTGTATGACTTGATATGGGGTGGGCTCTGAGGCCCGTGGCTCTGAGGCCTCTGTAAGCCGTAGCTGTCTTCCATCACCCTCATTATCTGGTTGATCAAGTCGTCTGAAGCGGTCTGCGTTGATGAGGGATGTTTCTCTGCAGAGGTGTCGGGACCCTCAGATAAAATTTCTGGTGATAGTGTCGACATCTCCGGTTGTGTGCTAATCTGCGCTGAGGTAACAGTCGCAGAAACAAGACGTTTCTTATGACGAGCATCTAGAATGATAATCGGAATGTCATCATCATATAAAGATAATTCTGTTATAGGTAAACTATCGGAGGCAAAATTATTAGATTTTGTAGATTTCCCTTTTGGCGTAGCTGTAGACCTAGGGTTCGAAACGTATGTGATGATATGGACGTTTTCCTAGTCTTAGACTGAGAAGACGACAGGTCTTGAGATGCAGGTCGCTGCTTGGACATAGTGGACTGCGTCCCACGCTATTCTCCGAGGGAACTCAGGCATGCCACCAGCCAGTGGCGGGTCGTCAGTCAACATTGACAGGGAATATTAGCTTCTGATCTAATAGCCATGACTGAAGATTGTTTGCAAGATTTATCTGCCTTCCGTCTAAAAACGGAACATAAATATTTATCAAAGGCAGAAATTGGTAAATTAATACATAATTTACAACGAGAAACAATAGAACATGGAGTAATGCAACTAGGGCATTTTAAATGTGGATGAGTAGCGGAATAACGTAGTTTACAATCTGTGCAGATTCTCATTAACGTAAACTACTGAACAATCACGGCGAACCGTGAATAAACAGCAGAAATGCCATTAATAATCAATGCAAGTTGAATAAGGATACTAGTAACACTTCTATACTAAGTATAAGAGGTACTAAACTAAAAGGATATAGTGTGTTGGGAGACACAGGCGCTCTCACGACCAGCTCACTGGGCGAAAAAGGAGAGAGTGAGGCACATGGGTTCAGGTGGCGCCCTCGTTCACGCGCTTGTGGAAGGGAGGTAACTCGTGGTCAGTACTAATGAGTGATTTTTTATTGAAGGGAACTTCAATTGGGAGATACAAGTGTTCCACTAGGTTCGCCAGAAGAAGAAGACAAGCAATAAGCATGAGTTAGGATAAGGAAAAATATACATCTTCAAATAAAAGTATCTGCATGATATCCAAATATCCTGATGTTACCATCTTATATTATATATCATGCTTTTCAATTCCAAATTCTAAAAATGTGACATGACATCCCAGCATCAGTACAAGTTCCCTGAGTTGTCATGGAAACATATAACATCCCAGTATCAGTGCATGGTTGATGTGTTGTCATGGAAACATATAACATCCCAGCATCAGTGCAAGGTCCATGAGTTGTCACGGAAACATATAACATCCCAGCATCAGTGCAAGGTCCATGAGTTGTCACGGAAACATATAACATCCCAGCATCAGTGCAAGGTCCATGAGTTGTCATGGAAACATATAACATCCCAGTATCAGTACATGGTCCATGAGTTGTCACGGAAACATATAACATCCCAGCATCAGTACATGGTCCATGAGTTGTCATGGAAACATATAACATCCCAGTATCAGTACATGGTTGATGTGTTGTCATGGAAGCATACGATGTCAAGGCATCAGTACAACTTGAAGTTGAAGGTCCATTATACATACCAGGTTGTTGTCCATCCTGAGATCCATCAGTGACGTGAGCTGTCCGAAGTTGGGAGGAAGTAGCTGAAGGTGGTTCTTGGACAGGAGGCAGATCTTCAGGGAATGCAGGTTACAAAATGAGTGGGGCAACTCATGGAGCATGTTCTGACCTTGAAGAGAGAAAGAAACAGACAAATACAGACAGAAAGACATTGCGCCACACAGAATCACTATTAACATGATTCAAGTAATGAGCTTTTTATAGGCCTTGCTAAATTCCACTCAACTTCAAGATTTTATCCACGTACAACTTAGCGAATTATGAAACTCTCAACTCCCTCATCATTTTCCTTGTTATGTCACTTATGGGTGATAGTACAACTGTAATTGTCTCTGATTGGTAGTGCTATGATTACTTACTATCAATTACCATAATCACTATGACTATGATGACTATTAATGTTATTATGCATGTTGATTACCATGATTACTGACTCAGTGACTGGTTGTTGTCAACATTACTGAAAGTGTAAATTGCTATTATTATTGTTGTTTTTAATAGTAATCAATATACAATAGGTACACAAGTTTTGCCTTCCTTGAATGCAGGGATTCAGAGTGGTTCCTTTTCTACAACACTGTGTACAGGATTATCAAATTGAATCCAAAGATATAATCCAATAATATGGTAACCACAGTCTTCACAATAAACAGGATATACCAAAACATAGTTTACTCTTTCAGTTATATTAATAACAACATACTACAGTGGAATCTGTCTATTATGGACTGGCCTGGGAACGACTCATTTGTCCAGATTATAAAGCAGTCCGGATTGGTCAACTTTTGTCTGTTACTGTAGACGCTGCCATGATGAGTTACCTCCCTTAGTTAAGGACACCAGTGATTTTACTCAATATGTTAAAAAAGAATGTTTATAGTGCAAAACCTGCAATTAAAAAGACACAATGCTAGAATATATTTCTCTTTATAAAATAATAGTTTCAGATACTATAATTTATTATGTTTTATTAAGTCACTGGTAGGCGAATGTGTGCACAGCATGGAACGCTGGGTAGGAGATTGTGTGCAAAGCTGATTGCTATTTCTGGCTCACTATACGCGACAATTACACAGGGTAATCTTAATCCCTACATACATGACAATGCCTAGCAAAAACAAATTAGAACTGAATAAGTTGTCTAGTGACGTTTAATTGCAAATTTGACGTCTTTAGTGACAAAGTCATCTTCTCTTGTTTGTTCACACAAAGCGATATGATGTTGTTTTCTACCTCTTAATGAAAGTGTAACCCATAGGTAAGCCAACCTCCCTTCTACAGACTCTTTTTGGGGGGTCCTCAAAATGCGTCCTACAGTAATATACGGTTCGTTTTTTTCAAAAAGCTGACAGTAATGTTCACTTCACTTCAAAATATCTGAAAATACTCTGTCTAAGAACAGAAGAAACAGAGATATCTAATCAGCAGATTGTTATTGAAGTCATCGTCTGGATTACAAAGCATTGTTCTCATAGCAAGTTGATTGTTGGGACTGTTATTTTAGTCCATAATCCGTAATTAAGAGAGTCCGGATTATAAAGCAAGCTTTAATGATGAATTAACAACAATTTTGCCTGGACTCAAAGTTGTCGGATAATGGAAAAAACAGGTTTACAGAGAGTCAGTTTGACAGATTCCACTGTACTTCTAAATCAAGTTAATGACAAATAAATGATAACATCATTAAATCAATGCATATATTTTATCAGCAAAACCAAGTTAAAACATACCAAGATCAAGGAACTCCAAATTAACCAAGTTTCCAAAGTCTTCAGGTAGTTCTTGCATTTGATTCTCATCAAGATGTAGATCCTTGAGATTCACCATCTGACAAAAAGCGTTTGGCAGTTGTGCTATCCAGTTACCATTCTGAAAGTTCCGACATTCCAGTTCATCAATAACACTGCCAAGATGCAAAGTCTCTAACTGAGTCAACTCTCCTATCGAGTGGGGTAAAGATGTCATGAAATTACCACTCATGTCTAACACCTTCAATCGATGGTTTGTTTGTCCAAATCTTTCACTGACAGCCTGGTGGCGAAGCTTATTGTCTTTCATTGACACTTCTACAGCCTGTGGTAGCTGGGATATCCACTCAGGTAACTCTCAATCAGGTTGCTGTGCGGCATAAAACTTCTTCAGGGTTTGACTGGAGTTGAAGTGTTTTGGCAAGTGGTCAATTTGGTTTGCTGATAAATCTAGAAATTCAACACTTTTCAGATCACCAAAACTGTCTGGCAGTTTTTCAATGCTATTGTTGCTGAGGTTAAGAACTTTCAAGTTTTCAACTTTCCAAATCCTGATGGTAAGGATATCAACTTGTTTGTATTACATTCAAACATTTGCAAGTTTTCGAGGAGTCCAAATGTCTTAGGAAGTTGTGACAAACCGTTCTGCGTCAATGATGATGAGTGATTGTAAAGCATTAATTTCACGAAGTCATCAGGTAGTTTTTCAACACTGTTTCCAGTCAGTCTTAATATCCTCAACTTAATCAAACCACACACAGACTCTGGGATATACTCAAGACAATTTTCATTAAGATGAATCTCCTCTAGATGTGAGAGAGATCCAATACTATGTGGCAGCGTCTTTAACTGATTACCATTCACAGACAGGATTCTCAAGTTTGGAGCACCAAGCCCAAAACACTCAGGAAGGGATGTGAGTTCATTAAAATCAAGAATAAGTACAGCAAGTCTATCAGTGAGGTGTGTGTCAGACAGGAGATCAAGGCTTGTAGAAGATAGATCAACCTCATCGTCAGCCTCAGATTCACAGACACCATTGGTAAGGATCGCTTGGTTAGGTGTCTCCTTGCTTGGATTTACAAACTGTTTCTTACATTCTTTATGCTCAGTGTACACTGGTTCCCGGTCTTCAAACCTCTCTGAATCTGATGTCAGACTTTGTGAAGATATATCACTAGATATATCCATGATCGTGGAATGTTCAGAGCGATCTCTTACTTTGACTCACATGTAACCATTCAAAAACGGTCTTTCATCTTGACAAATTCTTCTTTCATTCCTCAAAAAGATTCTATCCCAATTCTGAAAATCAAGTACAAAATGATTTAAGACATTCACACTTCAGTTTTCCAAACAAACAATAGCACACTCAAGCATCCTTGGGGGGTCCATCATCATTATTTCACCACTCTATACACTGGACACCCCTCAATGTCCCATGTATACATACAGTCGATGTATTAGGCAGCTGTTATTTGTAACTGAGGAGACACAACCTGGTTCAAATGAGATGGGAATCAGCCAGTGGTTAGACCAAAATATTACATGAGCTATATTGCACGAGATACTGTTACATTTCCTTTTTACAAAAGGGAGAACACAAAATGTATATTGTTTGAATTCCTTTCAGTACTTAATGCTAATTTGCATACTTTTTTATGCTATTGCGATTTTGGGTAAATAGATTTCAGGATTCTGGGCTGAACAGTGTTACTCAGAGTGAAAACAATATTATCCTGGTGATCAGGTGACTGGGGTGTTGACATGCTCATTTCAGGCAATAAAGGCAGGGGACAAAGTTCATGCACAGAGTCAGGTTGTTTTGACACCCGTGTCATGAATCTCTACAATGCATTTGAAAATTAAAATAACACACATCACAACTAAAAGCAAAGTATGTAGGGAGACAAGAGAACACAGTACAGGTACACACAATTGTGATCGAAAGCCTTCATAAAGTCAGAGTGCAGAGTTTAGGGTTAGGCACCCTTTACTATCCTTGGGGTTAGGCCCCCTTTACGATCCTTAGTGTTAGGCACCCTTTACGATCTTTAGGGTTAGGGGTAAGGGTTAGGGTTAGGGAACCCCAGCAGCGCTAATTAATCTGAAAAAGTGCGCCCGGTAAAGTGCAGTACTCCCGATATTCCTAAGATAAGGTGTAATTGGCAATCTGTGAATGTGGTGATGTTTGGTGCTAAATCAATTATCGGACGTGGACAGGCATGAATCGTACGTGTATACAATATTATCGGGATAAAACCTTTCACTAGTTTCAGCGGAACGCAGCTTTGCTACGATTTTCAGAGCTAGTGTCTTACAAATAACTTCTACCCCTGACACTGTGCATTTGGAAAAAAGGAAGTGCAAAAGTTGTACTTTTTTTCGAAATATACCACTGTAAACTGTTTTGTTGACAGTTTTGCACATGCTGACCTGTTTGCCGCAAACCATATGTGCGACATATACAAATCATTTCCCGGATATTTCTATCTCTTTCTGACATAATATTTTCTCTTAAACTGCTACCCTAGGTAATAAAGACAAAACGCTCTGACACTTTTTAGTTCCGAGATTATATTAAATTTCTACCTTTCTGTAACAGAGGATGTCAAAGCAAAACTGGGAATGGTCTCAAAGAACTACAATAGACAGCGCAAATGCGGACCGGATGAAACTTCGTGGATACAGTCAAACGTTTACTGTATGCCGCAAACCATTCGTCCCGTAAATGAAAACGAGGCAGGCGGTGAATTTGTTTATATGGTACCTGTCAATATCTGTTTCACTGATCAGGTGATGAGATATCCGTAGATACTGATACAGATGTGCGTAACAATATTCACTGGCACTGGAAAAATATGATTTAACATCTGCGAACGTAACTCTGTCGTAAGTGAGTAATGTCACCACAAGCAAAATGATTTTAAGGAATGAAATCCAGTAAACATGCAGTGACATGTTAAAATGCTGTCAGTTTCGAGAGGACAGTTGGAATGACAAGATTGCAAGTAAACAATGAGATCAAGCTGATGCAATATTATTTTAGCTGATATAACTTAAAATATTTTCGAAGAAGCTTTAAACCACTCTGTGACACCACAAGTAATTGGATATGTTAAATTATTTGAAGCACAGTCTGTCAGTGTCATGAGATGGGTCGGTTGTTGTTCACAACAGTGTAAAGTATCATTCTCTCACATTAGTCGTATGATCTGCAAACACATATAATGTCCTATGGGAAAGACTTCCGCCCGTATCCCCCTTAAATTTCATTCTAGTCAAATAATATCTCCTGAGTATATATTCCTCATCTGATGAGGGTGAGTTCTAACATGTTTCTTTAATTATATCTGAATATACTGAAAGACATATCCAACTTCTAAAATGCCACTCAAAGAATTTTTTCCAAGTATCATGACAGGATTCCCTCTGCCATGGGGGCTGACATGCTGCAATGTAAAGTGAAATACTGAGTAAGGCTTACATGGCGCTACACATGAAGAATACAACATGGCTGACCAGGACCCAGCATCATGGAGAGAGTTGGCAGAGCAGAAAGAGAGGGAATGGAAGGAAGCATCTCAGAAGAGGTTTGTCTTTGTTATCTGTATTGCTTGACCCTTCGGGAAACCTTCTTTGTCTACTCCTCACATT